TATATATATGCGTCCCATTAGAGTAAAAGAGGCAGAGTAACTTACTTTAACTTAAGCTTTTACTTAAAGGAAAATATTAGCAAGCAACCATCTGGTTTGTATAAAGGGGGAACTAAGTAATTATTTGAAATGAAGAAGACAAGATCAAACATTTGGCGAAAAAAAAAGACTGATGGTGAGCCATCCAAAGAAAGAAGAAGAAACTGGGAGAATGGATATGACAGACTGATCCTATTTTACAGTATACGTAAAAAACAAATTTACCTACGTTACTAGCACAAGCAAGGAAAAAATGTAAATCCGTGATATACTTTAAAATAAACAGAATGAAAGTTTTTTCTTAGCCTCCAAATATTAAGTCCCCGAAACTAAAGGACAAAAGTATTGTTTGTGAAAGAGATTAAAAATAGATGATCGCGCGGCAAAGCCGAAACAAATAAACCGGCTTTGCAAAAAGTTAAAATGAATGTTCCATCTGAAAAAAATCTCCTGTCCCCCACCAAGAAAATCAAATTGTCGCCCACTGAATAATGATATATGTGTCCATTTGTAGTGATGTCCCTATAATTAAGAAAGTTAAGATATTAACTTTGTTATGATTGAGAATGTTCACATATACAAACCCGATAACTTTGCAGTATCATTTATGGATAGAAAATCAAGTGAACGTGCACGTGAACCGACAAAACAATGACAAAACCATGGCAAAATACGATACGAAAAATGACAAAAAGACAAACAACAATCTTTGTACACTGGATGTAAAAATGTGAGAGGTTATTTTTTTTTATCATTTCACCAGAACTGGGATCAATTAAAGATATAAACATCATGTAACAGTAGTATTCCCAGATCAAGAGTAGTAAACATGTTGAAACGACAGAAGTATCTTGTTGGGTTAGTTGTCCAGATTATAATGTTATTCCACAATTGCTTGATGACTCTGCAAAACAACCTACGCAACTGTTTATATGCAAAACTTGAATAGTATTTGGAAATTTTCATCAAATATAATTTGGTATCATACTTTGGTAAATACTAATTTTCCACGTGGTTTTCGTGAATTATTACATATAGATTTACATATAATTTCAAGCAAGTATATACTAGTATGTAATTATTTGAATCTGGCATAAATGGCGAATAGAACTAGACCGTGTTTTCAAACTATCAACTTGCATGATAATCACTTCCGATACTACTGTTCATGTTTCATGGAATCATTAATGTCCACAATGGGGATCGAGCCTCTGTGTATTATGATACCAAATGGACGTGACTGTTTGATTTTAGATCTCGTACAGTCGTTCAAACGGAAGACAGCAAACCTTATCAAATAGTAGCTACAAGGGCTTTGTTGCCTTGATTACGCCAACAGTCGGACTTAGCTGCATATTTATGCATCCTGCACTTCAAAAGGGGTATCCATTAGCAAGTGTATTTGAAATGGTACACATCATCACATCTATACACATTAGTAATTAATTCGTTTGGCTTTACTGGACTTGCGTTTCACAAAAAATCTTACAACTAAGGTTGATAAAAAAAAATAATGAATTGTTCATGACTTACATTCAAATTAAGTCGTAAGATGTTTTTTTAAACGCAGAACCAAACGCTAAAATTAGGAAGGAGCTCGGATCCGAGAGCACGTGTTATACCACCAACTAGTACGTCAACTGCTTACTTTCTAGTTATAGAAATTACATCGCCCTATGAATGCATTCAATACTTGAATAAAATTGAGAATGGAAATGGGGAATGTGTCAAAGAGACAACAACCCGACCATAGAGCAGACAACAGCCGAAGGCCACCAATGGGTCTTCAATGCAGCGAGAAACTCCCGCACCCGGAGGCGTCCTTCAGCTGGTCCCTAAACAAATATGTTTACTAGTTCAGTGATAATTGACGTCATACTAAACTCCAAATTATACACAAGAAACTAAAATTAAAAATGATACAAGACTAACAAAGGCCAGAGGCTCCTGACTTGGGACAGGCGCAAAAATGCGGCGGGGTTAAACATGTTTTTGAGATCTCAACCCTCCCCTTTACCTCTAGCCAATGTAGAAAAACAAACGTACAACAGTACATAGTATATTTAGCTTCTAACCAACACAACCTTAGTTACGTAGAGAAAAAAATACGTACGCTCGATCAAGCATTATTCATCTTGTAACATGCTGTCAGCATTTAATTATGCAAATTGAGCGTTTCAAGATGTGATAGCTAATGTGTGTAATTCCAAAGAGAGTGATATTAGCCCGAATTCATTGATGACTTAACTATAACCCGAACAATTCATTCATTTATCTTCCGATGGCATTTCAAGAAGGAGGTTCGTGCTGTTAAAATAGTGTTTTCCGTAACTGCGACGCTTGTGGGCTATTTTTTGCCTTTCGTGGTTGACATTGCAATTGCAAAGTGAATTACTTGGCTGATTTTTTTCTTGTTTTTTATGCAACAAAAGACCACAACACACACACTAAAAACCAAAACATTACAAAATATAAACTAAGAATTAAAAAAGACAATCGTTGAAAAGACAAAAAAAATTGCAGTAGATTTACCTTGTATATATATATCATTTCATAGTATCATCACAATTCATATCTTATACTAAATCGAACATGGGATCGATAAGTATTTCCTGCTCCATCAAGTGATACCCGTTGTATTGGTAGTGAGATGCTTATGACAGATCATATTTGGAGATATCCAGTGGCGAATATAAAGGAACAGGGAGTTGATAAGCCCCTTTATGAAGAAAAACAAATTTGATTTTGAACTATTTTTTGAGCTATTGCTTTTTATGAAAAAATGCCCTTTTTTAAAATTTGATCCCCGAGAAACGAGGAAATGGAAACGGGATTGTTTGTAAGCACATTCTTTAGTCACCTGAGACACAGGTTTTCCATCACGGTTAAACTGTTTTAAGATCTTTGATATGTCAAGCTCTTAGTCGCTCCCTGTTTGAAAAGTCAACAACTTTAACAGTGTTTCAATGTCAAAGATCTGCTTTCAAAAAAAAATCCTAAAATATAAAAACATCCATAGAAGTGAAGACAACGATTTTCGAGGTTATTACAGCACTTTGCCCCCATTGTGAAGGGGATGCTCTTCCACACCGTCCACTGCCAGTGCGATATTAAGTTGTTCCTCGTTAATAGTAAGGTTAATTATTATCTTGCAATTTCATTTGTTTTTCAGGGTTCACCCCTTTAACAAGAGGCTAGCTCTCAAGAGCCTGAATCGATCACCTGTATTTCAGAGGAGAAGATTTTTAAATGTTAGCAAACTTGATGAACAAATTGTGTAAAATTGTCTTCAAAGGGCAATAACTCCTTAAGGGGTCAATTGACAATTATGGTCATATTAACTTTTTTGTAGATCTTACTTTGCTGAACATTATTGCTGCTTACAGTGAATATATATCTATAATAATATTCAAAATAATAACAAAAAACTGCAAAATTTTGTTAAAACTACCAATTCGGTGGCAGCAACCCAACAATGGGTTGTTTGATTCGTCTGGAATCTCCGGGGCCGATAGATCTTGACCAATTAAACAATTTTACCCCTGTCACGTTTGCTCTAATAGATTTAGTTTTTGAGATATAAGCCAAAAACTGCATTTGACCCTTATGTTCTATTTTTAGCCATGGTGGCCACGTTTGTCGATGGATACAAACTTCGGATACAATTCATAAACAACATATCCTAAGGAACATTTAGTTAAAGTTTGAAGGTAATTGGCCCAGTAGTTTCAGAGGAGAAGATTTTTAAATGTTAGCAAACTTGATGAACAAATTGTGTAAAATTGTCGTTAAAGGGCAATAACTCCTTAAGGGGTCAATTGACAATTATGGTCATATTAACTTTTTTGTAGATCTTACTTTGCTGAACATTATTGCTGCTTACAGTTTATATATATCTATAATAATATTCAAAATAATAACAAAAAACTGCAAAATTTTGTTAAAACTACCAATTCGGTGGCAGCAACCCAACAATGGGTTGTTCGATTCGTCTGAAAATTTCAGACCAATTGAACAATTTTACCCCCAATATCAGATTTGCTCTAAAAGCTTTAGTTTTTGAGATATAAGCCAAAAACTGCATTTGACCCTTATGTTCTATTTTTAGCCATGGCGGCCATGTTTGTCGATGGATCAAAACTTCGGATACAATTTATAAACTAAATACCCTAAAGAACATTTAGTTAAAGTTTGAAGGTATTTGGCCCAGTAGTTTCAGAGGAGAAGATTTTTGAAATAGTTTACGACGACAGACGACGACGACAGACGACAACAGACGACGGACGACGACGGACACCAAGTGATGGCATAAGCTCACATGGGGCCCTTCGGGACCCGGGGAGCTAATAATATCGTGATTTAACCTCCGTTAGTAATTAACACTAGAACATGAAGAAATGGACAGATATCGATCTAATTATACAACACTGACCCAGTTTAACATTTTAAAGTAAATCTTTTGTCGAACGGTCCACCTTTGTATTTGCAACTTAGGCCAAAGTTGTGCGTTTCTTTGTTTATGTCAAATTGCTGGTTGGTGTTTGATTTCCGGAAAAAAAATTAGAAAAAGATGAAAATCTATGGAAAATCTAGTAATTGAGAAATTATAAAGGGTGATTAGAACTGTAGACTTATGTATGTTCTTAATAATTTATTTGTTCAAGATAAAAATAATCTATATGGATCTGAAGGTTGATAGATTTTTTTTTCTGAATAAGAATGATTTTCATATTTAAAAAAAGGATATCAACCTGTATGTAATGTTTAGATTATTACGAATAGATTTTTATTTTTTGTGTTCTTTTTCTTACTGGCTGGCTGTTAGGTTTATACTAGTATGGAAAACCAGTATGAAAAAAATATATTGACCGGACGCAAAACAAATTACAAAAATAGACATGGCCTTATGTATCTTATTACAGTATATTAACTGATAATATTTATGACTGTTCTTCAGTGCATGTAAACAAGAAATGCGGGAGCGACATCACGGTTTTATTATTAACCTATGGAAATAAACCACACTGAGATTTTTAACTTTTGTAAAAGGGGAAATGGCTCAACAACTTGTTGATTGTCAATTTTGTGATACCAGTCGGAACAGAAGAGGAGGTGTACGATGGAAATGTTTAAACTGTGACCTTACTCTCTGTGAAAATTGCAAGACCGGAAAACATTCAAGAATCAAAGATTCAAATCAACATCGTATTCTCGATATACAAACACTCGGAACTATTCATACGATAGACTGGATCCGGGAGGTGGATCTACAAAAAATTGTATGCATAGAGCATGCAAATAGAAAATGTTATCACTTTTGCAAAGAGTGTAAAAAGGCAATTTGCCCTTCGTGTATTCTTGAACATTGTGGTCACAACCTGATTGAGCTTGAAATTATTTACAAAGATCAACAACAAAGATTGAAAAATATGCATAGAGAAATTGAGGAGGATTTGCAAACACTTCCTGGAATCATCGCAATGATAAGTAAGGAAGAGGAAGAAATATCCAGAAACTACGATGACGTCAGACAAAAAATAGAGCAGAGAGAAAGTGAAATAAAAGTGCAAGCAACACATGACGCAAAACGTCTTTTGAAAGATCTAGAGGATTTCCGAAAAAATGAAAATACAGTTTTATCTATGAAACAGCAAAAAGTACGCGAGTATGAACAAAGTCTTAAACATCAAAAGAACGAGATCCAGGAAACTTTCAAATCACACAAAGCAATGTCCATTCTAACAACTATTGGACAAATAGACAAAAAGATTGCACTTGAAAATAATGTACACGGACCAAAACAAAAATTCGTTTTCAAAACTCCATCTTCTCATTGCATCGACTTTGGATCTTTGATTAAACTACCAGAACTTTATATCAAACGTAAATATCAAATTGAAGATATTAATGTTTCTGGAATTAAAGGTAAACATGGAAATAACACTATTATGGTATTTAAGAAGAACAAGCTAGGTGTATATTTTCTAGGAAATGTCTCTTTCAGTGATTCCAAATGTATCATTTCAAATGAAAAAGAAATTTCGGATGATGTTTTTGACTTGACAATAACAAAAGATGGCATTATACTATTTTCAATGGATCAAAGCTCGGAGATAAAGTGTATTACAAAAAACAGTGAAATAGAAACCTTTTCATCCATTGAGTCAAAAAAAGTTCGAGGCATTCATGCCTGTGACAGTGGAAATATTTTTGTTGGATTCTCTGGTTTTCATGATGGCGAACAAGGTGGTCTCTTAGTTTTGAACGAAGAAAAAACACATATTAAGACATTTGAACTAGACAAAAACAATGAAAAAATATTTTCTTTCCCTGATAAAATTACAATCAACAAAAATGGTGATATTTGTGTTATAGATCATAGATTCTATGTAGGCAGGGTCGTTGCATTAAATGAAGACGGTCATGTGAAATGGACGTATAATGGGCATGATATGGAAAAATTTAACCCTTGTGACATAGTGACAGCATCTACTGGGTTAGTAATTATAACTACAGACTATCACTGTAATGTCGTTCATATTTTATCCGAAAATGGAGACTTCCTCACCAAGTTTGGAGGAGATGAAGTCAATATCTCAAAGGTCAGATGTCTAAACAATGGTAACGAAGAAAATTTGCAAATTGCATGCAATTTTTCAGACCATGTTAAAATATATGTAGGGAAAATTTTATGAGCCTATTTAAATGAAGTGTCAAGGGACCATTAACTGTATCTAAAATAACATTAAAATAAAATGTGTTGCTGCTTTGTTTATAAACTAGTAGATAATACATAGTTTGAGTACATACTAAATCTTGTTATAAAGTTAACCGGGTTTGTACTTACATATGCAACACTACGGGTGCCACATGTGATACAGGATCTGCTTACCCTTCCGGAGCAACTGAGATCAACCCGAGTTTTTGGTGGGGTTCGTGTTGCTCAGTTTTTGGTTTTCTATGTTGTGTTTTGTGTACCGTTGTTTGTCTGTTTGTCTTTTTCTTGTTTGGCTATGACGTTGTCAGTTTGTTTTCAACTTGTGAGTTTCAATGTCCCTTTGGTATCTTTCGCTTCCCTTTTTTAACGTTACATTTCAGTGTACCAAGTCTATTAAAACCTAAAGCCATGTATATTTTGACAAGTTTGAAAGTTTACCAACTCAATTAGTATTGGGATTTTAAACTCTCGTCTATGAAAATATATTTAGAATTGGAAAAGGAAAGATGGTGTCTGTGGTATTATTGTCACTGTATATGTAATGAATGTGAGGTGTACATGTACGAACAAACACTATCAAAACAAACATGACTTGGATGGAGAGTTGTCTCATTAGCACTCATACCACATCTTCCTATATCTATGACACAAACATCTTAAAATATTGTAAAATTACTTAATGGCCTCTAAAACTATGAAACATTGTAGAAATACAGATAAGAAAAAATCTCAATAATTAAAGCATACTAGTAAATAAAAAACAACATTCTGCAAAATTCACACACAACTGTAGTTTATGTATAACAAATGAAACATACAAAGGACAACAAGAATCAAAAAAATATACTGAGAAGTACATCAGAATACCAACACTCGACAAATAAAAAGGAACAACACATGGTCCAAATAACTAGTTTATATGAACACAACCCCCCTATTGCTTATCTAGACCACATTATATATAAAAAAGAAGATGTGGTATGATTGTCAATGAGACAACTCTCCACAAGAGACCAAATGACACAGAAATTAACAACTATAGGTCAACGTACGGCCTTCAACAATGAGCAAAGCCCATACCGCACAGTCGGCTATAAAAGGCCCCGAAATGACAATGTAAAACAATTCTTATACTATATTTTTGGAGAAAATAAACACTATCTCGTTCCCTATTGTTAATCTTTTGTTTTAGTATGGCAATGTTCCTTTAATCCATTCTTACAGGCAAAGTTGACCTTTGATGGAATTGGCTAGTATTTTAGGCCCTTTTGGGTCATTTACCTAAGCAACTGTTTTGGTTCTTATACATCCTTGGCTTTAAAAAATAATATTCGATTTTGAGCGTTCCTGATGAAGGTATATTCAGAAAAACGCTTCGGACGCATGCAATTTATGAATTATTGTTTTTATTTTTTACAATGTGTGTATTTAAACAAATTGACTTGTTATCAGACTTTTCTTTTCTTAATTTTACATGTAGCTTAAAAGCCATTTTTGAAAATCTATAAAATCCTTGTAATTTTTTCATAGTTTTTGAAAGAAAAAAGGTGCTAATGTTAGATGTATGAAAATATAAGTTATATCGCTTCTCTGCTCGTCTCTTAGTTACGCGCCCTTCCAAATTCCAACGAAATCGTGTGAATAATTAAATTAAATTATCGATGTTCTATCGAGTTCTAACTCAGATGGTGATGTAAATAAAATGACATATATCACCATTCCTAGATTATTTATTCAGGTAAATAAGTTTGGTTCCGTTTTGTGTCGCCTTGACGAAGTCAAAAAGCGAGACATAGGTATGCTGTTTCCGGCGTCGGCGGGTCGTCAACAATTTATTAGTTTGTGATTAGGTCTAGTTTATGGTGAACTACACGCGGTAGGTCAATGGTATTTGTTATGCAGTTGTATTAGTATTGGCACATCTCATTTCCATGGAAATTGTTTAGTCATGTACCTTCAGTCATAGTTCATCGACTTTGAATATTTGCATAACTTACATGTTAAAGTATTGCTATTTCAGTTTCAACATTTGCATTATCAAAATTAACAAGCATTCTGAGAGTATCGCATGGCAATACAAAGTCCCCTACCGGTTAAAAATTCATTGTACTTGTACAAAATGCTAACTTGATCTATAACTTGTCATGGTGTAAACTATATAACAAATATCAAGTCAATATCTTCAAATTATGACGAAAAAAAGTGTGGAAAACTGATTATTTAAGTGATTTTTTTAAGTCCAAGGACCATAATTCTGCATAAAATCACCAGACCGGAACAATCTTTGAACTTGATCTGTAACTTGTCATGATAATACAATACACCAAATATCAAATCAATATCTTCAAGCACGAAGAAAAAAAGTGTGGAAAACTGATTTGCCGGACTGACGGATGGACAGACCGACCGACCGACAGACAGGCAGACAGACAGACGGAGTGCAAACCTAAAGTCTCCTTCGACTTCGTCGGTAGGGGACTAAAAAAAGGCGACACATATCTCGGTGATAACAGTTTATTTAAAAACAGTCAATAGAACTGAAGGTAGGAGACTTGAACAATTTACCTAAATATTGTATATTAACGTTGTTTTTGTTTGTTTTGTCACAAGCTATAGTTTTGGTATTATGAAAATAAAGATTTGAGTTGAGTTGAGTATAAAACTTTGGTATAAGCAGCGAAAAATGAAACTCATTCAATAAGATTGATCGATTCATTGCTGACCTTTTAATCTCCAGCGTCAAATATCCCACGCGCATTCAGAGTGATAAAATGCTAATGAGATATAATAAATTAACATAGGCTGCTGGCTCACAATGTAAAAGTCTGAAGGCAGACACATCCACCTACTTAGACACAGTATGCTGAATTTTATCAGAACAGTTTTTGCTTTTTCTACTATTTTAAAAATGCCAATGTTTTCTGAAAAAAAATTTAACAAGAACACATCTTAAAGTCTTTAGTTTGAAGAAGCCTGGGATCGAACCCACTGCCTTCTGTATTCGAGGCAAACACGATGCGATTATAAAGGAACACAAAGCTAAGGATGCGTGTAATCTGTTATGTTCATCTTAACTTGTTTTCTGTGATGATTGTAAATGTATTTACTGGTGATTTAAGATTATTAAAAAAAAAAAAAAAAAAACATTGTATTTGTTGTTATCTGGATATATGTATATGCCTTTTTGTTCTTATTGGGCGTTATTTATGCTCTATAAATTTGAGTCTAAATCGTTGATATAACTATCTACCCTTATACCCACAAGAAAAACTTAAGAGACACAACTGTTGACTTTTTGTGACATTTATATATACAGGATGATGACGTCATATTAAAGGACAAGTCACATATATTTATTGATTTAATACTTTTTGAAAAATTAGAGTCAAGAAAATCTGAACAATGTTTTTATCGTTTACTTCATTTTCCCTAACTTTATCTATTAAATGGTTTACTACCATGTCAATAAAACTTTCTTTGCGAATTTGATTTGACAATATCAACTGTTCTAAAGCTGAATTTACTTGACTCTTATCTCGTCCTCTTGCCATTTCTTCGATGAAAAATGGAAGTGCATCTGTGAGCACGTCATGCAATGCCGCCCTTATCTTTTCCTTATTTTCACTCGAAAATCTCTTTAGGATGGCAATGATGATATCAATTTTTGAACTTTCGCTTGGATCATTATATGCTTTCCGGAATTCTGCTACTTTTTCTGCAGGAATTTTTTCATATTTTACTTCATCAAATGTCTGTCCAGCGAAAAACAAATTCAAAGCTTTGATCGGATTTTCCCGAATTTCCGTAACTTTGTTCGCAATTTCAATAGAAGTGTTTTCATTCATCCCCGCAAAAAGATTGCTTGGAATAAAGAAGTGTTGCAGTTCTCTACTTCGCAAACAATTGACCATGTAGTCTAGAACTTTTATCAACAATTTTAATACGTTGTCTTCTGTATCCACCAGTAACAACGAATTGATAGTTTCTGAGTTCCAATAAACTGCTGTTTTCCAATGAAACGTAGTTAATATTTCAGAATAATCTTGCAATAAACTCTTTTTGATAGCTTTGAGAATGAGAACAACCTTCTTTTGAACACCGGTCATTGCTCTCGCCAGCTTTATTTCACCGTTGTTGTATGCCAAACAAAAATCTTTCTTTCTCTCTCGTTTTGTCAAGGACGGTTTTGCAACAACAAAGAACTCGCTATTGTAAATATCATCCACTACATGTTCTGGTGGCCAGACGCGTTTACGTTGTTTCCACTCATCAAGAAATCTTGGCCTCCCAGCAAGCGGGAATGCTGGTATAAAATCTTTGCTTGATTTTGATTTATATTTTAGTATAACATCGCCTTTGTCGATCTCCTCTCCATTGATATTGTCATTAATATTGTTGGAGTTTGGCTTCATATACATAGATTGTTTGTTTTTTCGATAGAATTTCTCATTTGGACAAGTATCTGTTGTGTTTTGACAGCTAGTATTTTTAGCAGTTTCACAAGAAAGAGCACCAATAATAGAGCCAA